TTTATTGGCTAAAAATAAATCCCACCATGCATCGGCATGATTTGTCTATAAATTTGGAGATGGGATATTTTGTCAGTCATCTCTGTATTGTAACCAACGAAAAGCCAATATTTCAAACTAAAAAAGATAACAGACGAAAAAAAACAAACATTATAAAATAACAAATAAACAAAAAAAAAGAATAAATAAACAATGTAAGTAAATAATAAACGTATTAAAAAAGTACGAATTTACACATAAACACAATTAAGTGTAATAATATTAACTAATAATATATAATGAGTAAAAATTTAACAGATAACCGCATTCGGATGCACAATTATGTGTATGCAATAGTTTGTAGAATGATTTGAAACATAACCGTTATTGCCCACCCATTCACTGGACAATAAAATAGACATCGCTACCCATAATGCACCAATGGACAGCATATATATTGCTGAGCCTACAGACATGGCCTAAACATTGCGTTCACGTTCGAAGCAGAGGGTCACCGCTCGCTGTTGACGTTGATCACAGTCTCCACTCATAGTGAAGGACTTCATCAAGCCAAATAGGACGAAACATGTCGGTCATTAATAGCTTGTTCCCTTGTTTTTTTATTCATTTCTTTCTTTACAGATACTATCTGAAAATAATTTACACGCACACGCACATATATTATATATATATATATATATATTCCACCTCTGATTTCTTATATCTTTACTTCTATTTTCTCTCTGTATCGTTTTCTGTGAGATTAAATAGGTCAATGTTAAATAGGTCAATGTCTGGTCCTTACCCACCTTCCTCACTATTAAGTATTGTAATAAAAATGAATTTAAAATCATTTAAATGAATTTAAAATCATTCCTATCTCTCCCTTCCCTATCTAATTTCGACCATGTCTGTCACATTCTCTCTCCCCACTCTCTATATCACTTTACATCAACTCAAATTACCCTTCAAAAAGTGTATAAAAATATGTAAATATATATACAAATATATATACATATATATATATATACATATATATATATATATATATATATATATACATATATATATATATATATATACATATATATATATATACATATATATATATAAACATATATATATATACATACATATATATATATATATATATATACATACTATATATATATATACATACATACATATATATATACATACATATATATATATATATACATATATATATACATACATATATACATACATATATATATATATATACATACATATATATATATATACATATATATATATATACATACATATATATATATATACATATATATATATATATACATACATATATATATATATATATATACATACATATATACACATACATATATATACATACATATATATATACACATACATATATATATATACATATATATATACACATACATATATATACATACATATATATATATACATACATATATATATACATATATATATACACATACATATATATATATACATACATATATATATACATACATATATATATATACATACATACATACATATATATATACATACATATATATATACATACATATATACATATATATATATATATATATATATATATATATTACGGCAGTAAGAATTGTTACAGACATATGAATAATATATGCAGGTGAACATATTGACAAGGCAACTTGAATCGCGGAAAATATCATATTGTCGTCAGACGGGATACGTCGTTTGAACAATAGTAAGATGAAATTTTTTTGCTGGAGTTAAATTGATGTTTTCAGTTAAATGAACATCATCCCAGTAATAAAACGTACAGTTTGGAATATTCTCCGCAAAAGGAACCGTTTTTCCTGTTAATATTACAATGAAGAAAGAACATTATTTTGAAATGTTGGACATCAGCGTTACAAGTTACTGTTGAAAATCTTTAATTGAAGTGTAACTTTAGATTTATTCCTAACAAAAATCCAACATATACTTGTAAATCATTTCAGAAATGCCTTCATGAGGACATGAATGTTTTAGCTTAACCTTACCAAAATGACAGCACGCTTCAACTTGGAAAATGATGGGGCAATGCATGTTTAAGACAAAGAAAAACATGCAATTTATACAAAAGTAAACTGCAGAAACTTGAAACATTACAGACAGTAAGGTGTGATCATTTAGTAAAAAGTAATGGTAATGGTGACCATTCCTCATATGGCAATAAAATAAGCACATCCAATCTCTCCTCTTACTTTTAACCAGCCATAACAGTAAATTTTGGTATTCATTGACCGAAAAACCAAATTTCGATTGAAGTTCATAAAATCATACTCTGAAAAAAAAATTTCCAGGAAAACAGATTTTCCACGTCCAATTACTGAAAAAAAATTCCATAAAGATGAACACCTGATGTGAATTTTCTTGTATAATTAAGTTTATGAGTGCAATTAGATTTCTTTTCTTTACAATTATTTAAAATATTTTTTTATTTATATATTTAATAAACTAGTACATGTTACTACTTATTTTCTCATTACTACTCGAAAAATTCATGAACGGAATCAGATTATAATTTCACTCATTATAATATATATATATATATATATATATATATATATATATATATATATATATATATATATATATATATATATATATATATATATATATATATATATATATATATAGCAGGACCTCGTTGTAAATTAAACCTCATTTATTCATGACGAAATGGAAGACGAGGGTTCAAATCCTACCAGAGGTATTTTTTTTCTCTGATAGGACCTCTCGGCTTAGTCAGGCAAGCAAGCGAAATAAAATACTTTTAAAAGATAGACAAAAAGCAACGTTTAACAATGGTTTCTCCGGCAAAGTGGGGCGCAAATTGAAATCCTGCCGCAGGAGTAAAATATCATTAGAGAGTTACACAGTAAGATGTAAGAAATTCAGTTTATGTGGAAGATAACTGCTCGCCCTATACTTCAATATGTTAAGAAACCTCTTGGAGACAGAATATTAGTTCGTCGGAAGAAGCTGTTCAATTGGAGCTTTACTTCTCACCAATAAAATACGACGGGAATGAGGATGGTTTCCTACAATGTTCGTATATATATATATATATATATATATATATACACGAAATATTTTAGCATCATATATGTTTAACGCATCGGTAAACATATGCATATCTCCTTTTCTAAAATAGATATATTTAGTAAATATTTATAGTAATAAAGAGATGTTTTCATTATTGTTGATTTATTTGCACTCAATTAACGCCAGATAACGTCCGTGCGTATCGAAATATTTGCCAGCATAAACATCATTAAATATTCATTTGGTCAGCTTATATCTCGTTTTAGACTACTTAACTGGCATCATACAACCTCAATTTATTTAGTTTAGTTTTTATATAAGGCCATAACTAAGTAGTAATTGCCAAACAGAACAGCCCGATGTACATGCCCTTCTTTATTTTTTAATGTATCTCACTTTCGGGACAAGATCAGACCTATACCGAACATTATTATCAATCTCATTAACAGTTGTATTAGTAAAAAGACTCTTTTTATTATCCATGGTGTTGGCAGTTAAATTAACTCCGTATATATAATATAAAAACGTTTTCGCAATATTTATTCATATATAAGCGTGAAATGCTATAGATGCTATTTACCAATGCTAATGCATCTATCGTGAAGCACATCGGGATATATTTTCACTTTGCAGTATAGATTAACTCAAAATATTATATGTCACTATTAAGAAATGAGACAAGATTCCCACTAACACTCCTTTGTATGTTAAGCGAAATGTTATCACATAGCATGCACCAGAGAAGTCCGAGAAAATGAGCCTATAATAGCCTAACAGACAGGTGAAGTGAAGAGCCTGATACGACGAAAAAAAAAAAAGAAAGTAAAATATATTAACTGGATGAATATTACCCGAAAGAAACACAATGTACATCCACCCACGGACATATGTGAGGCAGCAAATTCGGAGGCGCCAAAATTAATCAAACCCATTTTCATAAACAGTCTCTCTTCCACCGCCGAAACGTAGCTTCCCTCTGCCTTTTCTACAAACACTTTCGTGCTAATAGTTCTGGTGAATTATCCATTATTTAACAGCGATCTTAGATTGGCGGCAAGCACACGTCATTTAAGAGTTGAAATTGCTAGTTGTAACCGTAAGTTCGATGCTAACAGTTTCTTCTCTCACAGGTTTCGCTAAGTGAAACTCTCTTCTGGTTTCTTGCTTCCCAGTCAACTTTGATCGGCGACACGTTTAAATGCAATGTTAATCGTAATCTCCAGTCTTTTTAATACCTATTTTTTATTGTTCTCATTTTTAATAATATTTTTTTCTCGTATTCTCTAATTCTAACGCTTAGTTGAAAACCACTATAGTAACTATAGTAGTTAAAGAAAAAATCAGAGTCAAAAGAAGAACTTTCGAATGTTTAAGAATTTTAATACTAAGATGAAACAATTTAGTCGGAAATTTGAAAAAAAAAATTAAAAAGTTGGACAGACTAATTTAAAAGATTTCTTTCTCCCTAAATACATCCTTGCAGAAAAATTCACGATTTTTATATATATATATATATATATATATATATATATAAGGGAAAAAGAGACATATGTCTTGTATATATATATATATATATATATATATATATATATATATATATATATATATATATATAGTGCTGAAATGGCAGTATAAGCTTTCTACCAATGATCCATTTTTATTATTCTGCTTCGTTACAGATAGCAATTTGCTGAAATCATCCCCGACATGAAAGTGTGTATAAAGGAAGTTCGTGCTATTGATTTACTCCATGTAAAAATAAGTTACATCGATTCACGTTAATTGAAGCTTACTGAACGTCTATGGAGACCAAACAGTGAATGCGAGCACAGTGGGGAATGCCTATTAACAGTGGTGATAGCAATATTTGTGAAACATCCCTTTTGGAGAGGCCCTGCACATGTATTGCTAAAGACCATATCACGTTGAAATACCGGTTCTCGTACGATCACCGAAGTTAAGCATCGTCATGTTTGGTTATTAACTAGATGAGTGACGGTTTGGAAATACCAGGTGCTGTAAGCTTGGATGTGCGGATGGTGTAATGGATAAGGGTTCGAAATTGGTAATCGGAGTTTCCTGTCGGGTTATATTCATCGACGCGCATATAACATAGGGAAGTTATGAATATATCCCTTTTCCCCACCCAGTTACGTGTTACTTATAAATCTTCTATTTGTAAAAATAATTATCTCCAAAATCTTACAATCTAAAATTATTTTCTGTCTTTGAAATTAATTAAATTTTATTAATTCTCTTTGACTTGTATAACAATAATAGTGCATACGAGTCAGAAATTATCAATAATTGTCTTTGTGAGCTATCTCGAAAATCTAGTGTTACGAAATGGGTGATTGTTGCTAAGTATAGCATGCATTAATTTCAAGCGTGGATTGGCAATGGTTGTTTTATCGAGCAATCTAGGCACTAATGTTGCTAAGCCGCAAGGAGTTACTAAAAATGAAAGAAAATGAGAAACCTTTAGGGAGGAGAAAGGACAATGAAAGAACGCAAGATAGCGATTGGTTTTGCATTTAAAATTTTGAAGGTCGTAGTTTCTAGGGAAGCAAGACGTTGGAAATAAGTTCCACAGGTGAGAAATGCGAGAAAGAATCTCTTAGAATAGAACATACGTTTGCATCTAGCTAGCTCAACAGTTAAACAGTAAGACATAGTTGTCAATCTATTCGTAA